GTGACTGGGATAATTGGGATGGGAGTGTCAGAGACAGTGCGATTGGCACAGGACAGAGCAGAGTTTAGGGCTGTTGTACATAGGGTCGCTATGAGTTGCAGGCGACTCGACGGCACATAACAACAACAACAACAACATAATTTTAAAGAGGATTAGATTATATATTGTCTATTTCTGAGCTGGACGTTTTCACTTACCTGATCATCCTAGTATGAACATTTCTCACCACTGGGTCAATTGGCAGCACCATGATGGATGGAGAAGAGACTGAGGTTGTTAATAATTTCAGCTTGGTAGGCTCCACCATCAACACTCTTAGCACCAGAAGCCAGAAAAAAATCAAAAGATGAATTATGTTGGTGACGTCTACTGTAAAGGACCTCTTGAAAGTGCTAAAGAGCAATGATGTCAGTATACATGTAATGGTCTTCACAATGACTTACTATACATTAGAGAACTGGACAGTAACTAAGGATGACAGAAGAAGAATTGGTACTTTTGAGTTGTGGTGCTGGAGAAGAGTATTGAACATAACACGGACAGCCAGGAGAACAAATAGGTCTGTATGGTGAGGGTGAAATAAAGTTACTCCTTGGAGGCAAGAATTTTGAAGCTCTGTCTCATATACTTTGGGCACATGGCCAGGAAGGACTAGTCTTTGGAGAAGGACATCATGCTTGAAAGGGTGGAGGGACAGCACAGGAGAGGAAGACCCAGGATGAGATGGATTGACATGGTAACTGGCGCAGTGGGATTAGATGTGTTGGAATTAGTGAGACTGGCTCAGGATACAACAAGGTTCAGAGCTATTGTACATAAGGTCACTGTGAGACTCAGGTGTCTCAATGACACATAGCAATGACAACAACATGGTGAAAATACAGTAATGTAATATATAATTACTGGGTAACATTTAGAGATTGAAGGCCACAGAATGGTATTTCCAGTAGTGTGTGAAACCTGACCACATACCAACCCATAGGGCAAGAAGAACAGTGTAGGGACCAGGATGCCAATGTTTGTGAAAGTTAACATTTTACTCTGCCAGTTTCTTTTTTTTCTCTTTAGTCTTATATGAAACTTCTTGTATGCCTTATGAAGCAAGTGATGATTCACACTAGAAATATAGTGACTTTAGACAATAGTCAATTCCTCTGGACAAAATTAAAGGGATCAAAGTCTTTCCTAACATTTGGTAGTTCCTACTGAGCTGTCCACACAATTCTCCTCATAGAGCCCAGCCTCTC